GGAAAAACAACCAAGGTTACCCTTTCCTATAAGTCATTCCAAAACTTCTAAATACTTTGATATGATTCATGTTGATATTTGGGGTCCCTACTCAATATGTTCTGTTCATGGTCATCGATTTTTCTTAACTATTGTGGATGACTATTCTGAATTTATATGGATTTACTTGATCAAACAAAAATCTGAAGTTAGGCAGCTTGTTCAGTCATTTTTTGCTCTCATAGAAACTCAATTTTCAGCTAAAATTAAAACCATTCGCACTGATAATGGTGTTGAATTTATAATGCCTCATTTCTATGGCCCAAAAGGAGCCTATCATCAAACAATTTGTGTTGAGACACCTCAACAAAATGGTGTGGTGGAACGCAAACACCAACACATCCTGAATGTTGCTAAATCCTTACTATTTTAGTCTAATTTGCCCAAAGAATATTGGACCTATGCAGTACTTCATGCTATTCACCTCATCAATAGACTTCCTTCTCCTATCTTGCAAAATAGATCACCTTTTGAACTTTTATATCATAAATCTCCTCATTATGATTCATTAAAAATATTTGGCTGCTTGTGTTTTGCTTCCACTTTACAGGCTCACAGAACCAAATTTGATTTTAGAGCTAGGAAGTGTCTTTTCTTAGGATTCCGTTCTGGTACTAAAGGATTTGTTCTATTAGACCTACATTCTAGAGACATTTTGCTCTCTCGTAATGTCTTCTTTTACGAATACATTTTCCCTTTTTCCAAACCTGTAGATCATTCAGTACCCTTACCTCAAAATTCAACCTTTTTTTACTCAGATCCTTGTCCTCCTAATGACACCTCCTTATCTACATCACCGTCATTACCACCTGATAACATTTTCCCTGCTGATTCATCTGTCACTTCTCCTGTTATACCACCTGACCGTACCTCTCAAAGATTGAGAAAGCCTCCTTCATACTTAAAAGATTATCATTGCAATATGGTCACTGCACCTGAAACTTCATTCCCTCAGTCAGGTACTACTTATCACTTATCTTTTGTTCTCTCTTATTCCAAACTTTCACCAAATCAGTTTCATTTTACACTAGCTGTTTCAACTACATTTGAACCTAAGACTTATGCACAAGCCATTAAACATGACTGTTGGAGACAAGCCATGCAAGCAGAAATTACTACCCTTGAGCAGAATCAAACTTGGACACTCACAAATCTCTCTCCTGGCAAGTCCCCAATTGGTTGCAAATGGGTGTTCCGTGTTAAGCATAAAGCAGATGGTTCAGTAGAGCGTTACAAGGCTCGGTTAGTAGCCAAAGGCTATACCCAAACTAAGGGTATAGACTATTTTGATACATTCTCACCGGTGGCCAAAATTACAACTGTTAGATTGCTTCTTGCTTTGGCTGCTGCTTCTCATTGGCATCTTAAGCAACTTGATGTCAACAACGCTTTTCTCCATGGTGATTTACTTGAAGAAGTATATATGGTATTACCTCCTGGTTTTAATTCTTCAAATCCTAGCAAAGTTTGCAAGCTCCAAAAGTCCCTTTATGGACTTAAATAGGCAAGCAGACAATGGTTCTCCAAGCTTACTTCTGCCTTGATTTCTTTGGGTTACACACAATCTTCATCAGATTATTCTCTCTTTGTTAAATATTTTGCCTCTTCTATAACTGTGTTGCTAGTATATGTAGATGATGTTATATTAGCAGGCAACAATTTAGAAGAGATTAATGTTGTCAAAGCTTATTTAGATGATGCTTTTCGGATTAAGCATCTTGGTGATTTAAAATATTTTCTTGGCTTAGAGGTGGCTCGTTCCCAGTCTAGTATTGCATTATGCCAAAGAAAATATGCTCTTGACATTCTTTCTGATGTTGGCTATTTGGCTTGTAAACCTGCCAAAACTCCAATGGACTACACTTGTAAACTCACTCAAGCTATTGGTAACACTTTATCTAATCATTCCTCTTATAGATGATTGGTTGGTAGATTATTATATTTGACCTCTACACGGCCTTATTTGTCCTTTGCCATTCAACAACTTAGTCAGTTCCTTGACAAGCCTACATCGGTTCACCAACAAGCTGCTAATCATGTTCTTCGATATATAAAGGGTTGTCCGATTGGACTGGATGTTCTGATACACGGAAATCTATCACAGGTTCCTGTGTTTTCCTTGGCTCTTCCTTGATCAGTTGGCGTGCCAAGAAGCAATCCACTATCTCTCGTTCTTCATCTGAGGCTGAATACCGTGCCCTTGCATCCACAACATGTGAAATTCAATGGATTCATTACTTGCTGCAAGATCTTCACATCACTCACTCAGGTTCAGCTCTCCTTTTTTGTGATGACAGGTCAGCTCTTCAGATTGCTGCCAATCCCACCTTTCATGAACGTACCAAACACATTGAAATTAACTGTCATATTGTAAGGCAGAAAGCTCAAGACGGTTTGATTCATCTCATGCCATGCTCTTCTTCAGATCAGTTAGCTGACTTGTTCACAAAAGCTCTGCCCCCTGCTCAATTTCATACCAATTTATCCAAGCTGGAAATGCTTAGCATCCATTCTCCAGCTTGCGGGGGGATGTTGAAGAATAAAGAAGAAGTTAGTTAGTTGTTAAGAAGTTAGTTCCAAGTAGTTGTTAGTCTGTTATGAAGTTAGTTAATCAATTGAGTTAGTTAATGTTTGTTAAGTTTGTTATAGGATTGCTCTATATAAAACATACACTGCTGTAACTCTGTTTCTTAATTCAAAATGAATTCAACATCATTTTTTCATCTCTGAATTAATTTCATCATTAATACTCAGCAGCATTTACTTTCCCAGTAAGGGAGATAACTTTTGAGAGAGAGAGAACAGTTTCAACTGTCAAGTTAACTTGATACGTACAAGCATATCCAGCTATACATGTAAATATATGAATATATACCATCCGTGCTAGAATTACACTGTTGAATTCTGATTATAAATTCAAAAAGAATAAGAGGTATTGACACGGTGACACCGACACCAAAATGCAGTCCCCCCACTTCTGCCTCTAGCAACAGCTATTTCCTCATCAATGTAAAACCAAATAAAGAAAGGATCCTTGTTGCCTGGCTCTCTGTCATTTTTTTGGCCCAGACTGATCTCTAGAGGTTTCAAATTCCCAATTTTGATGCGAATACATTCAAAAATGAAGGCCAGTATTCTCTTCTTCCAAGAAAATCTGCCTTCAAATGTTAAGCATCCAAGTGGGCCGAGATACACCCCATTCTCAATCCTCTTTCCCTGATAGCAGTTGAAAGTAAGACTGATTACTTTCTTGCTTGATTGACGATATTAGCAATTTCGCAAGAAAATCCAAAGGTATAGGAAAATTACAAACGACAAAACAAGCATAATTACTAGAATGTAAATCTGCAAATAAATGACTGGAGAAAATATCACACACTGACACATAATCGTTTGTAAACTTCTCTATTAAGACCATGATCAAACCTTGTACATGTTCTAAGAATGCAACCTCACTTCGATATCCTAAAGAAACAAGCAGTACATACTTTTGTGTAAAGATCAGTTTATATTTCTCCATCACCAAAGATTCAATCTTGAAATGTGAATCAGTTAAAAAGGACAAGAGATGTTTATTTCTCAATAGCAATTAATATTGTTTAATGTCCTTTTTTACTTTTCTATTATATAATAAAATAGATTTACATTTATACTTTTATAAAATTAAATTAAACAGTTTTATACTATTAAATATTTTATTTTTGTCTTTTAATAATTTTATATCCTTTTTTAATTGTTTTTACAAACGTGAACACTCATTTTAATTTTCTCTCTTATTATTATTTAAAAAAAAAAAGAGTTTATAAAAAGAAATAAATTAATAAGAGTAAATACACACAGAAAGGCCCGGCAAGAAGATTGTAGATAAAATAGGAGGGGTCGTGCGTTCAAAGAAACTCAACCTTTGTGAATGGATATGCACGCTTCTCCATCCTACGAGAGAAGCTTTCATTAAATAATTTTACTACAATGAGGATAGTTATAACATGTGGCTTTTTTTTTCTTTTTTTTGTCATCAAAAGCTAACTCTAAAATGAGGATATCCAATCCAAATCTATTATTATTATTCACTCCATATCGTTTGTACACAAATCTAGTATTATTATTCAAAGAATAATATTAAGTTATGGGTGTATTCTTTTTTGAATTTTGAGTTTTTGTATTTAAGTTTTTTGAAAATATTGAGAATGATTGAAAAACGTAAAAAACAAAAAAAAAATACGTTTTATATGTTTGTCTGAAAACCAATATTTAAAAACGCATTTGTCATGTTTGTCTAGAATCACAAACAATAAAAAATTAAAAAAAATATGAAATTTATTTTCTACTGAATAGATAAAACCACTTTAAACTACTACTACTTTATCTGTTTCAAAGGGTTTGTCTCAAATATGTCAATTATTGATTTCTACTTATAATTTTGTATGAAGAGTTTTCATTTAAAAACGAGTTTTTGTTTAAAGAGAGAAAAGAAAATATTGAAAGAATAAATAATATTTTTATTTAAATTTCTAATTTATTATACTGTTAGAAGTACCCACGTCAGTTTCTTTCGACTATTTACTTTATTTTATTAGATACCATTAGAAGAAAATCACTAAAGTTTTACCAACTTCTAACCACTACAAAATAAAAATAAAAAAATAATAGTGGTGTACCAAATTTGTGTACCACAAAATCATAACCATCTATTAATTATAACTAATTATTATTGAACTGTCAAGATTTTATCATATCATTATGCACAAATTCAATATACAACACCCGATGACGGTAGCATTACTCATCAAAATAATACACTAGATTGTCTCACTCCGGCGGCGGAAATCTCAAGAATTTTATATGTTGACTTTCAAGGTTTTAGTTTTAGCAGTATATTGATGCTGAATACGCTCAAATATCCATTCTTAGCTAATTCATTTCTCTTTAACTACCTGATTCTCGCTCTCTTCAAAGAAAATATGGCTGAATCCATTGTATTTGGCATCGCCACTGAAATTTTGAAGAAGATAGGTTCCCTTGTTGGTGGGGAACTGTCGTTGCTGTGGAATCTGGATAGTGATTTAAAAAGACTTCAGCGAACCATGAGCGCCATCAAAGCTGTGCTTTTGGATGCCGAGACAAAGCAGACTCAAAACCATCAGCTGCGTGACTGGCTTGCGAAGCTTAAGGATTTTTTTTATGATGCTGAGGACGTTTTAGATGAATTCGACTTTCAAGCTTCCAGGAGATCGCAACGGGGGAGCTCAACATTAAAAGTAAGTAAATACTTTTCAAGCTCTAATCCTGTTAAAATTGGTCACAAGATCAAGGATATTAGAGAAAGGTTAGATGAAATCGCAGATGATAGGCGAAATTTTCCTTTTTTTCTTATTGAGAGTCATGTTGACGTGAGGCATGTAATTCCCAAGGAGAGGGAGACTAATTCCTTCTTCCAAGCTTCTGATGTCATTGGAAGAGAGAAGGATAAAGAAAACATTATAACCTTTTTGACACAACCAGCCGATGTTAATGTCTCCGTCATTCCTATAGTTGGGATTGGGGGTTTGGGTAAAACCACTCTTTCTAAAATGGTTTACAATGATGAAAGGGTCTATAGGCATTTTGAGTTAAAGATGTGGGTGTGTGTTTCCGACGACTTTGATGTTGTTAGGTTGATTAAAGAAATTATTTATTCTGCAACACATGAGGATTGTGCTAAGTTAAAAGCCGATGAAATACCCAGGCGTTTGCAAGAAATTTTGGCTGATCAAAAGTTTTTGCTTGTTTTAGATGATGTTTGGAATGAAAATCCAATGAAATGGATGGATCTGAGAAATTTACTGCTAAATGGTGCCAATGGAAGTAAAATTATTGTTAGTACACGCAGTAAAACTGTTGCCGAGATAATGGGCACCGTTTCCCCAAATTTCATAGAATTACAAGGTCTTTCACCTGACGATTCTTTATTGTTGTTTAAAAAGTGCGCATTTAAAGATGGAAAAGGAGAAGATTTTCCAAACCTCATTAAAATCGCCAAGGACATTGTGGGAAAATGTAAAGGAGTTCCGTTAGCTCTGAGAACTTTAGGGAGCTTACTTTTTGCAAACACAGATGAAGATGAGTGGTTAAGAATAAAAAGCAGTGACTCCTGGCAGCTGAAACAGGAAAAGGAAGGCATCTTACCAGTATTGAAACTGAGCTATGATAATTTGCCGTCTCACTTAAAGCAATGTTTTGCTTATCTTTCCTTATTTCCAAAGGATTATATCTATGACAGTGATTACGTGACCGGAATATTTTTATTAAGTATCTTTTATGAGCATATTAGTAGAAAGAAGTCATTACATAAGAGTTCTAGTAGCCACCAATATTAACAACCTTAGAGACTTGAACTCAAGAGACAAAACTATCGGTCAAATAAGGTAGTAATTTATGTGTTCCTAATAGGGGTAACTACTGAAGGGATTTATCCAATTGTCAACTTTAGGGCCCCGAGTGATTAGTGGAGGAGCACGCAAGCTGGCCCAGACAGTCCGATCACTAAAAAAAATATTAACTAAATTTATGTGCCAGTTCTCTCTTTATAATACTTGTCATGGATCACATGGCCTGATTTTAAGTTGTCGGGTATTACATGGTTTGTCCATTTTTGAGCAAATTTCAAATTTTGGCTTGACTTATTGGGGATAAGTTGATGGGATATATAATAAAAATCATAAACTTTATTGAAAATTGATTCAGGGTTGTCTGCGCAATACCTATGCAAGCATTTTGATAATGGATAAATATGCACAATTTTAAATTTTATGTGTATAAACTTAAAACAAAATAAGTGTGTAAAATGTAAATTTAGTTACAAAGAACCCCACTTTTTTGTTTTACCTTAAAAATTTGGTGTTAGAAATAAGGGTATAAAATTAATATCTAACAAATTTAACATCCAAGTGATTAAAGAAAAAACTTCAGGGAGCAACTCGATTTATGGCTTTATGAATTAGAGTAGATCATGCATATGTACCTACAAACCTTTAAAAGAAGTGGTATAAAACCTAATCTTACAACCTTCTCTCATAATCCCTAGCAGCTCGCAATTTGTCAGCTCGCAAATAGGTCTCACTTGCTTGTTATAGGTTATGTCTGTCCATTTGCGAGCTGACTAATTACAAACTGCCATATAAGGGGTTGTGAGAGAAGGTTGTAAGATTGGGTTGTGGACCTTATATTACTATTAAAAGAAAGAAAAAGATTCCATGTAATGGTTGTACAAACAATTGTCTAATCAAAAGATGTCACGTCGAACCTCGGGTGTTAGTTTACAAGTTTATGAATCAAACCGTGTCATAGATATATACTAGTAAACTAGGAGAACAAGAAAAACTTTGTTATTTCAATTGTACATAAAATCAACCAATCAAAAGAAAAAAAAAATCTATTCATAATTGATTATACATAGAATCATCAATACAACTTTATTTAACTCTTTTCTTGATTGACAATTTATACAACCAAAGGAACCAAATATACAATTAATAAATAATAAAAATTGATAACTAAAAAACAAATACTGTATGTTGATTCATTGAAACATGTGCAAATGACATAAAGAAAAGAGAGAAAATGGCAATGTTGTAATATAATGTAGCAAATTTGGTTTAAAAATAAGATAAAGAGTAAAGATGAATACGTGTCATTACATTAAAGAGAGAATGAGAGAGGGAGTGAAAGGCTCAATAATTTTTCTTCGTTTAACATGCCCTCGGTGTTTGGATAATTACATGAGAACCCTACAGGTTTCAGATAAATACATTTTATCCCACTCTTATTTCCCTGGAGATTGTATTATTTAACCCTAAACCCACAAAAGACTAAGCCAGTTTGAACCCGAGATAATCCAAAAACGCCGCTGCTCAAATGGCGTCCAAAACCTTTCTTCGTCATTGTTATTCTTCTTCTGAAACCAAATCTCATCTTTATTGACAAATTCATGTAAAGTGACTACAACTATACCACAAGATTCAATATGTAACATTAAAGAGGTAACGAGGCTTGATAAATTCCTTGAAAAAGACTGTAAAGAAGGTAATATCACTCTTAATGAAGCGTGTTATTTCTTTTGTTTAATGATTCATATGCAACCCAAACCACCGATTTCATCATTCAACTGGTTGTTTGGAGCTCTTGCTAAGAAAAAGTTTTATAAAGACGTTATTTTGTTGTACAAGAGAGTGGGTTCAATTGGGTTGTTGCCGGATTTTATTACTTTCAATATTTTAATTAATTGTTTTTGTAATATGGGTGGAGTATGTGATGGTTTTGTTGTTTTTGGAGGGATTTTTAGGTGGGGTTTTCGCTCGAAAGTTAAAAACTAACACAAACCCCCAAAAAGTATAGATATTTCACATTTCATTCAGCTACCACCAAAGCCACAGAATTCAACTAAATAACTGGTTCAACACACACAAGTGGGTTTATGCAGTAGAAAGAAACAAAGTAGTTATATCACAATCATATGATCTATATCCAATAGGTTTCATTGATAAGTAAATAAATAAAAACTCTTTATTATCTAAAAATCAGTAAAACCCCTAAAGTTTAAAAACTAACAAAAGGAAAAAAAAAAAATGAATGAATGTTATATGAAGAAAGGATACTGAGTAGCGATGAAATCTATGAAAAATAAATTTTTAAAAAATTAGAAAAAAAATAACAAAGTGGGAAGTTTGTGTTGTGTTTGTCTTGACTGGTTTTATAACAAGAATGTTCAACTATTTTCTTCTATTTCTGTTGTTGCTACTTGGTAGTTTATTTGAAGCAATAGTGGAAGAGAGGGAAAGCTAGACTAATTGTGATAGGGACGGATGGCTATGATTGATTAAAAAACTAGATAGAAAGCCCGCACATTGTGCTTGTATGTTTATATAATTTTTTTACATTATTATTAATTGTTTGTCTCGCATTAAATTATTTGTATTAAAGTTAATTTTATATTGAATTGATAATTAAAGAAATAAATAATAAAAATATTATATACCAAATAATGAGTATTAAACTTGTATATATTTTAAATACATATTTAATGTTTGTGTAAAGATACTGGACAGGTTCTAGTAGTTGTATCTCCACCTATTTAACACATAAAACAAACCCCTTGTTCTTGACCTTTTTTCTTGATCTTTTTCTTTCTAAAAATAATAATAATAAATTGAAGTTCCTGGCCAAGTCTTCTCATATTGCATTGCACCACAAAATCATTTAACTCTTTATAGTAAAATTATCAGTACCAAAAATTTTAAGTTATATATCTATCAACTTAACTGTCCAAAAACAAATGAACAACTTTTTTACTTTAGTGCAGAAAACATATGTAAATGAATCTAACTTCTACAATTCAATCATATTAGTTTGATCTATCATTTTCTCTTCTTTCATCAAGAAGAGAAGCCCAGGAATTTGAGTACTTGAGTTTAAGTTGGTGAACATGGTACTCGCGTGAAATAGCCGCGAATATTATAATACCACTGAGCAAGGCTAACCCCAATCCTAAACTATTAACAACCATGGATTCTGGACATCGTTTAGATACAATTCTCCTGCTTTGCAAAAATATCAATTTCTCTAAAAGACTTGTTTTTGCGGTCACCACAGCCAACCCATATGGGGAGAGACCAAGGAAAGTGTGCCATGGCAGTACACTAATTCTTGATGCACGCACCTCCCCTCAATGCCAAAAGCTCAAGAAGCCCACTATCCACTGCAATTTCAATCAAAGTCACTTCAACATTGTTATACTATTCTCTCCAATGTTTTGTAATACCAAAACTAATCTTAATTTTTGTAAAGTTTATACACCATCCCAACAAAATTTGTTGTATAATAAAACTTTGTTTGCTCTTTCTAGATTTCTTCTCTTTCGGTAAGTTATTTGCAATTGTCATCTTTCAACAACCAAATTTCACAAAATCTCGGACTTAAATTATTCAGTACACTCCAGCAATATTTGTGCACACCAAACACATAATTAGCTTCCAATGATCCAGTAACTTTAAAGATCAAATTCAAGTTATATGTGATTTTAACACTCCTAGCCTGTGATATTTGCAAGACTTGGAAGTGAATTTGATGAGTCCGTGGACTGAAAATCAGGGCTTTCTAGCTCAAATTAATCTAATTCTGAAATTTAAAACCACAGAATCTGGAAATTTGAGAAATGCTATTCTTTATAGCTGTAATCTCTTATTTACAGTCACCAATTGAACAATAAATAAATGAAATAGAACAATTAAGATTGAAACTAACATAAGTCACAAAGTAAGATGATATCTAGATAAAGTCACAATTTTTCAATTTAAGAAACAACACAAAAGCATAGCACAGGATAGTCACCTAGGTGGTTTTAGGATTCATGGTAAAGATTGCTTCTTGAAAATTACCAAGGAACATATCCATGATTAGAGCACCCAATACCATTATAGCACCAATCATACTGAAATTTGGTGAAGTTTGTGCATCAGCTAAGGTAAAAAGAATCATCCCCACAACTAAAAGTGTTGCAGATACATATTCATGAACTGGGTATTTTCATCTGAGGCCCAGTGTGAATGTGCCCATGACCATTACTGGCAAAACCTGAGATGACAAAATAAATTTCCAATTATAGCCAAATTGATCCCGTTTACTTGATTCACATAGCAAGAGTCAATAAGCTAATTTGAGTCATTTACATCATTGCAAATGAAGAGACCTAATTGGACTATCAAACAAAAACTGAAGTTATGAAAACGTCTAGTAAGGAAAATTGTTATTTTTTCCAACATGAAATTAAAAAAAGTAATGGAGTTAAATATATACCTTTGTGGATTTGAACGTGAGCTGTATTGGATAGTTAAGAAAGCCAAACCATGAGAATCCATTAAGACTGTAGAGAGCTTCGCATAAGTCTTCTATGGATTCACCATCTATTTAGTGGTGAAACCTTGAAGATAAATGAGAACAATATAGACAAATCCTTGAACAAATGTGAAGTACCAACCAAAACTGGGAAAACAAAAGGTGTCCATTGATCAAAATTTACAAACTAATCCTTGAAATTTCATATCACTAATTAACAAATACTTAAAGAAAATCATTAAAATGTTACCAAATACAACAATACTTATATGCAAATTATACCTGAATTGGAGCCTATTGTATATATATTCTTGCAAATTACGTAATAATCAGTGTACAATCAAGCGGATCAACCGCCATATCGACATTGCTTAAAAAACAGAAGGAAA